AAATATTTTATTTGAAATATTAAATAGAAATTATTAATGGAATAATTTATATTAATATACTGTATTATATTAATATAATATACTAATATATTATATTATTAATGTACATTAGTCGACATCCTATCAACATAATAGGAAAAACTGTCTTTTTTTTTGTTATTTGGACCGATTTGGTTGACCGAAATAATGTAATTTTTATATTACCATCAATTTTCATGTCGGTGAGCCTCGACATCGACATATGTCGGGTGACATAGCGAAATGGTCTGGCTGATAAAAAAAAAAAAGAGTATAATTGGTCTGTGAAGTTCCCAGGAAAGCAACAAGACAAATTAAATAAGTTGCAGAAATGAGAATAAACCTGTCTGGCCAATTTGCACTTCAGAACAGATGCAACCTATCTCACCAATAAGCTTAATGCTTAAATTTGGGTCTCTCAATTTGGGTGGTAATTGATTTCTACATAATGGTAAGTAGATATAACATTGTTTAAGTTACAAACATGTCTCACATCATTGAGATTATAGTATTGACGATTTTAGACATGTTTGCCTACTTGGATTCTAGACGTAACCATGCTTTTCCTGGGTGTGTCAATTTGTAGCTTCATGAATCCGGCTTCCATTTACCTGTTCCCTATTCACCATTCACCATTGTCCTTTTAATGGTGTTTTTCCTCTGTGTTGGTTAGCTTGTGGAAGAACCAACTATTGTTATCCCTTTCTTTCACCCAGGTGACATTGCCATTTTCACTATTTGATATCCCCTTGGTAAGCAAGACTTTCAAATTCTCATTTAACCCAAAATGTTATATTCTTGATTTCATAAGATATGGGGTGTTACTCAGCTTTCTCTATATTTGTAATTATTGTGAGGCATCCCTTCTTTTTATTCTCCACCCTACCAATGCTTGTCACACACACACACACACACACCCCATAGAGAGATAGAGAGAGAGGGATAGATAGAGAGATGTAAATTGTCTTTGTGCATACACTGTGGTGGTTTCCTGGTTTTGTGATTGTTTTTCTTTTTAAGGCATATATCAAGGAATAGATGATACTATGCCCTTATTCTTTTTATATATTCCACTAGTTTTGACTAACATGGAATGAATCAGACTTCCTGGTTTTTAAATGCTTTTGACTGCTTCAGGATTTCCTATACTTGGGGAACAGATGATGAAGGAAGAATCTCCATTCTCTCCTTCAAGAGTCAAGTATGTCATTGCCTAGGTGACTCTAGTTTTAATTTTTTCTATTTGAAGTCCTCTTATTTTAGTTAATTTTGGATATGCATAATCAGGCTTGAAGACTTGAGTAAAGAAGCTCCAGCAGGTAGATCCCCATCTAGCTTAACTACAGGTACCATGGTGGTTATTCTTGATGGGGTAAATGGTGGTACTGATTTGTCAGGCTGACTACAAATGATTAAGATGGATGTGATAGTTATAATGCTTGTGCTATTATCCTTTTTGTCATCTTCATGTAATGTAGATTCTGGCATTGGCTCTAGCAATACGAATCCTTCATCAACCGGTGCAGTTAAGAAGGCCTCAAACGTTACCCAGGTCAAGGAGAGTCCTGATCCCATTAAATTGGAAGGTGCAGTCTCTTGTGCAATTATTTTTATAGGGTACAAAGGAATTTAAATTTCATTTTCCCTTCCTTTCTAGCTTTTGTTTGCTATCTGCTCCATTATCATTGTTGAGCATTGGCAGTATTTCTTTTAGAAGATGGTAAGGTCAAAATTTATTGCTAAAATGATAATAATACAACAGGCTCCATCCTTGCACAAAACAGAGCCATGGGGCTGTACACCTTCAAATAAGGAGCTAAGAGAAACAAGAAAATTAGAGAGTTATAGTGATTATACAAATTGCCAATTTGAGGCTAAACTCCAGTCCATTTCACACAAATTGTCCAAAGATTCTTCTTTCTTCAAAAATCTCATGGTTTTGCTCTTTTCAGATGGCCCAAATAATAGAAAAATGAATAACTCCTGAAATATATACACCCCTTTCACTGAAGGATAACCTTGGCCGTCTTTGGGACATTTTTTTTCTTGGTTCCTTTTATTTTTGTTTACCAATCTTCTTGGGTATGAATACCCACAATAGTCTGAATCATAGTTTTCAAGGCGCCAAGCTGTTGCTAGGTGACAGGGGGTGCCTTGTTGTCTAGTCGCCTAGGCGAAGGATTTTTTTTAAGTAAAACCATATATCCTAGGGTAGTTCCCTAGGTTCCATAACCATCTTCCCTTAATTATTGTCCATAATTTTCATAAGAGAAGTATAAGTTTCATGTTCAAGTCTAGAAAAAACAACATTTTATGAGAAGAAAAAGAAGAAAGGAAAGAAAATTAAAAAAATATGGAGGCTGAACCCCTACTTTTGTAATAGGAAAATAAGAAAAGAAAAGGTGGAAGAAGAAAATGTGTTGATTAGATAAAATTTTAAGCTCTTCCCTTGCTTATTGGTTTAGGTTTTGAAATCTTTGAGGATTCAATCAAGGATCAAAATTGGACAATAAGATAGAAGTCGAGGCCGTGTGCTTGCAAGATAGACTGGGGTCGGTGAACATTTACAAGTGGTCTCCTTCATCAAACTCGAAGAAATACTCGGTAATGGATGGAGTTAAAGTACGCGTGGTGGGTCTACCTTTCCATTTGTGGAAGGATGAAGTAGCAGAAGACATCGCAACTTTATGTGGAGCAAGATTGGCGGGTGTGTTTTGGGAAGATCTAAGGTCTGCAACAATCTTATTAGATGGTGTCAAGCCCGAGGAGATTCCCAGGAAAGTGAACCTGAGAGTTGAAGGGGCGTTCATGGCGGTCTGGTTGACTTACTCCATTGAAGCTGAAATGTGGAAGGAAGCTCGTAGGCAGGAAGATGGTAAGGTTGAAGAAGAAACATTACGTGGCAGTAAGGGGTTGGCTAACCTACAAGGTAGACACAGTTACACAAAAGAGGGCAAGCAGGCTTTTGGCAATTTAAAAGCTTTGCTGAAGATGGAAAGGGTCACAAACGTGATCAACAAGGCATGAGATGGATACCTGACAGAACGTATGCACTAGCAGTAACACATGGCGTCCAAGCTACTTTATTAAATGCACATGTTCGACTAAGAAAAGGTGAGAAGGGGGCAAAGAGTAAGGGAGCTGAAAAGCTGGGGACTTTTAAAATTAATAGGGCCCAATCTCTACCCAATCCAGGCTAGATAATTGGGAATGGGCCTCCCCCAAGTGGTGGGTCCCCGTTATTAAAAACTGGGCCAAATAATAATTAGAAGGGACAATGTTTATAATGGGCCGACCATTGGGGGCCTATCTAAGGCAGGGCAGAAGGAACATTTTGTTAAAAGTCCAAATGGGCCGAACATTATTGGCCCATCAAAGGGGATCACATGTTTTTTAAAAGGTCACGTGACTAAGGGGGGGAGAGTCGATAGATGGTAAAGTCCATCTATCTTCTTCTTCATTGATCTCAACAGGTCGAATACCACGGAGAGAGAAGTTCGCCATTTCAGGGAACTCCCTACACTGGGTCGCGGCAAAAAAGATAAACAGACTGTCGCCAGAAAGACGCAATCCAAGGAGCTTCAGGCAAAGTGATCTTGAAGGGCAGAAGGAGCATGCGTGCTCTGAGGAAGACGAAGCTAGTGAGAGCGATTCAGACTGTACAATGAGCTTAAAGAGCATTGGTCTGAGCAGATCAAGAAGTGTTTTTGATGAAAACAGTTGGGGTACAGAGGTGCTTTTTCAAGAAAACAAGGAAGAAGATGTTTCTCAAAAAGTGAAGAAGACGATGTGAATGATTTGGATCGTCTGACAAGAGTTGAGGTTTAGGTGATGCCTGCACTCACAAGGGAAGTCAGCCCAGTAGCTCAGGAAAATCAGGATACAAGGTCGGTAAGGAAAAATCCTAACACCTTGGTTTGTAATTTTATACCGGAAGAAGGGAAGCATGGGAAGAATAGTTCAATTGCTAAAGCTGACAGGGTATTGACTCCTACTATAAACTCTCTGAGGAAAGATCAATCACAGGGAACAGATTTAGGCCCCTCTCCTTATGCGCATTCCCCTCCCTTGTTTGATGGCCTTTTGGTTCCCAACAACACAAGTATGGATGTCCTTTCGGTTTTGGTCACTAATGTGCCTTCTGTGCTTGTAACAGATACTCCAACATCCCGAGTGGAAGTTCCAGTCGGGGGAAAGATAAGAGAGAACGGTGGTTCTGAGAGAGAACTGAGAAGGGAAGAAGTGGCTCCTAGAGAGAGAAAGGAGGAATTAGAGAGAATATGGGAGATGATCTGTGCATTGTTGGAGGAATACAAAGAGGAGGAGGAACTAGGCCAAAAGGAGAGAGCAAAAATTCTCAAGAGAAGGAATTCTATAGAAGTTCCGAGTTGGGGGGAGGGGTAGCTGAAGTTAATGCACCATCTAGGAAGTTCGAGGGTAACAATAAAAGGAAAAAGAAAAAGAGATCAGAAGTGGAGATTGATTTCAGATATTGAGGGTGACATTGAATTTAGCAGGAGAGGGGAAAGAAGAAAGATTCTGTAGTAGGTGGAACCTCTTGGGAAGGCATTTTTGAAAAGAGGTACTCAATGAAAATCATAAGTTGGAATATGAGAGGATTGGGAAGTGAGAGAAAGAGAAGGGCTATTAAAGACCTACTAAGAAGAGAGAAACCGGACATAGTATTGATACARGAAACCAAGTTGGCAGAAATGGATAAAAGGTGGGTCAAAAGTATATGGAGATCAAGAGGAGTTTGCTGGACCTCGGCCCCTTCTTGGGGTGCCTCTGGAGGTATAGTAACACCATGGAGGGAGGATGTTGTAGAATCAATGGAGGAGCTAAAAGGGAGATTTTCTATGTCATTAAAGGTTAGGAATGTGAGGGATGGATTTACTTGGGTTCTAACCAATGTCTATGGGCCAAACACGTATAGAGAGAGGAATGAGATGTGGGAAGAATTGTATGGAATATGGGACTTATGGGAGGGTCCTTGGTGTCGTGGGGGGGACTTTAATGTAATTAGATTTTGTAATGAATCCAACAATCCCCAGAGAACAGTTATTACCAGTATGAGAAAGTTTAATGAATTTATTAGTAACTGTGGTCTAAAGGATTTACCTCTCTTACAAGCCAACTTTACTTGGTCTAATTTCCAAGAAAACCCTCTTTGTTCGAAATTAGATAGATTCCTCTTTAATGAAGAGTGGAAGAGTCATTGGAGGAACTTGATGGCTAGAGAATTACCCAGTCATTTCCGACCATTGCCCTATCCAGTTAAGTCCTTAAACATTAGCCTCTGGCCCACGGCCTTTTAGATTTGAGAATATGTGGYTMACTCACCCAGATTTTGTGCATTTGATTGGGGAGTGGTGGAGAGAAGATTTAAGAGGGGTGAAGTGGAAGGGAGTGAGATTCCACAAAAAGCTGGAAAGGTTGAGGTCCAAAATCAAGGAGTGGAACAAGGAACAATTTGGAAGAATAGAGGAACAAAAWAGTAACTTGTTGTCTAGGATCGAGGAATTAGATTCTAAAGAAGCCCAAAGGATGATGAGCGAGCAAGAAATGGTGTTGAGAAGGAACTTAAAGAAGGATTTGGAAGAGGTCCTGTTGAGAGAGGAAATTTCTTGGAGGCAAAAGTCAAGACATAAATGGATTAAGGAAGGAGATGGAAACACAATTTTTTCATGCGTTGGCTAATGGGAGGAGAAGAAAAAATTTTGTGGCTAAGTTAGAGATGAATGGGGAGGAAGTAACAAATCAAGATGAGATAGCAAGGTTGTTTGTGGATCATTTTAAAGCAATCTATAGGAAACCCTTGAATAATAGGCCAATATTGGAAGATTTGGAGTGGACCAGGTTATCTAAAGAACAAGTAAACTGGTTAGAAAGGGATTTTAGTGAAGAAGAGATCAAACAGACGGTGTTTTCAATGGATAGATCCAAAGCTCTTGGTCCAGATGGCTTCACAATGGCTTTTTATCAGGATTGTTGGGATGTGATTAAAGAAAACCTTGTTGGGGTGTTTCAGGAATTTATATATAAAAACAAGGTAAGCTCTGGAGTTAATGCAACCTTCTTAGCCCTAATCCCAAAGAAGATAGATGCAAAGGACCTTAAGGATTTTAGGCCGATCCGTCTGGTGACTAGCATCTATAAAATTTTGGCTAAAGTGTTGTCTCTGAGAATCCGAGTAATACTACCATCCATCATTAGTCAAGCATAAGGTGCTTTCATGCAAGGTAGGCAAATAACATATCAGATTTTAATAGCAAATGAGTGTGTGGAGGACATGAGAAAGTCGAGGAATCAAGGTTTTGCGTGTAAGTTAGACCTAGAGAAGGCTTATGATCTTGTGGATTGGAGTTTTTTACTAGAGATCCTTGGGTGTTATGGCTTCGGAGATAGATGGTGCAACTAGGTAAAGGGCTGTATTAGTTCTTGCCATTACTCAGTCTTGGTTAATGGGGTGGTCAAAGACTATTTTCTAGCTTGTAGAGGCCTTAGACAAGGAGACCCACTCTCCCCGTTCCTTTTCACCTTAGTTGCAGATGTTTTCAGAATATTAATCTCTAAGGCAGATAGGGAAGAGGAAGTGAGTGGATGGAGGATTGGAAGGAACAATGTCTGGGTAACCCATCTACAATTTGCTGATGATATCATAATATTTTGTGAAGGAGGTGACAGGCAAAAACTGAGGAACCTTAGAGCATTGTTACAACATTTTGAGAAGGTCTCCAATTTGAAGATAAACCTGGATAAGAGTTGTGTGGTCGATGTCAATATGAATGAGGGTATTATTCAGTCTGTGGCAAATTTTCTAGGTTGTCCTGTTTCTTCTTGGCCCTTGCAGTACCTAGGTCTCCCTCTAGGGGCTTAACCCAAGAGAAAGTAGTTTTTGGAATCCGGTTTTGGAAAAAATTGAGAAAAGGTTAGCAGCTTGGAAAAGAAACTATATTTCTATAGGGGGTAGAGTGACTTTATTGAGAGAAGCCCTAGTGAACCTACCAGTCTACTTCTTGTCCATTTTTAGGATACCTAATAGGGAGGTTAAGAAGTTGGAGAGGTTAATGGGAAATTTTCTTTGGGAGCTAGGGGAGGAAAAGAAAGATCATTTAATTAATTGGGTAATAGTTTGTAGGAGCAAAGAGGAAGGTGGACTGGGGTTAGGTAGGTTAACTCTCAAGAATAAAGCTCTATTAGGAAAATGGTTGTGGAGGTGGCCTAGAGAAAGGGAGAGGTTGTGGCATGAAGTGATAGCTAGTATACATGGAAGACTAGAAAACGGATGGGATGCGGGTGTATCAAGACAAGCAACGTTGGCATCTCCTTGGAAAGCAATCCAAAGTATCCTCCCTCAATTTCTCAACTTTGTTAGGTATGATGTCAATTTTGGTAACCTTGTTTTATTTTGGGAAGACACTTGGGTGGGGACTACTGCTCTAAAGGACCAATTCTCGTTTCTTTATTCTATTTCTCTTTACAAGGAAAAAGTTATCTCTCATTTTCTTCCATCTCATATTTCACCTTCATCCTTAACTTAGGATTTTGGCTTTCAGAGAGGTTTGAGGGATGATGAACTTAACAGTGTCTCAGATCTGTTGTCTCTTCTTGGCAATGTCTTTTTGGACCCTCTTAGTTTGGATGTGAGATTATGGTCCCCTAATCCAAAAGGGTACTTCTCTTGTGCTTCTTTTTTTAAGTCCCTTTCCTCCTCCCCGAGTCAGTGGGGTTTTTCGACCAAGGAGATTTGGTTTAGCCTGTTCCACCAAAAATTGTTATTTTCTGCTGGGAGGTGCTTTATAGAAAGATTAATACCTTGGACAACTTGCAAAAGAAAAGGCCTTTCATGTGTTTATCCCCTAACTGGTGTGTACTTTGCAGGGCTAATGGGGAGGATTGCTCCCATCTACTTGTATTTTGTTCCTTTTCTAGAGCCATTTGGAGTTAGATTTTTTCTTTGTTTGGGTGCAGGTGGAATTTGTCCACGGAAAAGTCAGCTATTTGATCCTTCTTTTTTTGTGTGGCCTACAAAAAACGGAAAAATGATGTGGAGATGTATTAGAGCAGCCGCATTGTGGACAATTTGGGAAGAAAGGAAAGCAAGAATATTCAAGGAAAAGGAAAGAAGCATTCAGGCTGTTGAGGATGGCATCTTAACTAGGGCCATTCATTGGCTGAGAACTATGGACCTCTTTCGTACTTTTTCCTTTGATGATTTTTGGAGAAATTGGTTGGTGTTGGCTAGCAGCCATACAAGGAAGGACAGGGTTTCTACAGTGTAGACCCCTCTGCCTAAAGGATGGGTAAAGCTGAATTTTGATGGTAGCAGCCAAGGAAACCCAGGCCCATCGGGAATAGGAGGGGTGCTAAGAGATACGGAGAGCAATATATTAGCCTTGTTTTCAGGTCCTGTGGGATTAGGAGACCTAATAGAGCTGAGATTTTGGCAGTGGTACAAGGTATTCAGATTGCAGAACAATTAAGAGTTCAACATCTGGTAGTTGAAGGAGACTCTCAAATTGTTGTGGGATGGCTGACAGATCCAACTTCAGCCATGTGCGACACAAAGATTTATTAAGGAAAGTCAACTGGTTTACAAGAAATATGACAGTTACCTTTTGTTGGGAGGGAAGATCAGCAAACACCTTAGTGGATGGATTAGCTAAGCAGGGGGCTACTAGGGAACATTTATTTTGGGCTGCTTTGTAATTGTATTTATGACTAATTCTGTTTTTTATTTGATGTAATACTGCCCTGAAGAAGTAACAGCTCGTGCCTCTCTTGAGTTCCCTGTACTGCATTTTCTGAATTAATAAATTATATTCATTCATAAAAAAAAATCAAGGATCAAAATTTCGATACGATACACCCTGTATCGGGCATATTGTATTGTATCTTTAGGGTACCAATACACCTGTTTATAGGTGCTTTTGGGAACACATTTTTTAAAATAATATATATAATTATATTTAAAAATGAAATTGAAAACCAAAAAAAGTAAAAAAATAGGGGGAATATCATTATAAGTACCGATACACAGAGGTGTATCGATACTTTGAACCATGGGTTCAGTACAGCAGTTAGCAATTTTTGTGTTGATTAAACCCTAACAAACAAGAAAATAATAAAAAGAAATTAGTATATAAACACACGGTATTTTATAACACAGTCACAAAACTGCTTGGTGATTGGGCGAGGCGAGCCTCCAAGAGCACCTTGTTGCCTAGGCGTTGCTTTGACAACTACGGTCTGAATATCAATCTTCTTGGAATTATATACTGTAATGGCATTATTTATAATTTTTAACAGCAATAGGCCCAGAACTACTATGTTATATGGTCCTCATCTTATGTTTAACCATTATAACCTTTTTAATACTTTCTTTTATTAAAATTTCTAGTAATATTTAGTTATATACTTATATTTTGTAAAATAGTAAAAACCATATTCTAAATATAAACTTTATTAACAGGGCTGGATAGGTTTCCCACTTATTAAATCCATTTTTATTATTTAATTAATAAAAACCTGCATTTCAGTGGAATTGATCAAACTGGTTCTCTGATTCAGGTTTACAATGCTATTTGCATTTGCATAGTGTAAACTGGCTATACCAACCATCTTAGGCTTGATTTACTTCTTAAAATTCTTTTTAAGAACTGGTTGCCCTAGTTCAGAATCTTCCAGTTCTGAATCTTCCAGTTTTACCTGCCAATCAGACCAATTTTACCTGCCAAAAGAACTGGTTGGCCTAGTTCAGAATCTTCCAGTTCTGAAATCATGTTTAGTTCTGATGGATATGATTTCTATTTTTCTATGATGTCCTTAAAAATGTCTTCTATTACATTAAGGACTGTTTCCTATCATAGGGCAATCCTTATTTACTTCTGCTTTAATGTTGTCAGATTCTGAAGTGGACAGGAGTGTTGGAGGGAAGAAACCCAAGTCTTCAGGGGATGAGGGACCTTCTCTGAGTGAATTGAGTGGCTATAATCCCAAAAGGCAGGAGTTCGATCCTGAATATGATAATGATGCTGAGCAATCCCTGGCAGAGATGGAATTCAAGGATGCTGACACTGAAGCTGAGCGTGAACTTAAGCTGCGAGTTTTGCATATCTACTTGAAAAGGTGTTAATCATTTTTCATTGTTTACTTGTAAATATGCATTGATAGAACTAGTAAAGTTACACTAATAAACATGACATCATGAGACCTAATGGTAAGGAAAACTGATAGACATGAGAAATAATAAATTGAAGGACAAAGTTTTCTTTTATCAGTTAGTTTCAGTGTCAGACCAGCATCCTTAAATGGATGAACCACTAGTCTTTTAGTTATTTTGTGCATTTTATAGTTCTATGCCATTAGATATCAGATTGTTTTTTTTTTCCAATTGAAATATGTTGTGCTTATTCTTGTATGAAATAATTATTTCTATTTTCTGAAATCTATGCTTCCTGTATTTTAAGGTTTGTGGAATCCTGTGCTTTGTAACTCTTTGTGATTTTGGTTCTCATACCAAAATATTTCTAACATTAGCACTAACAGAATGCAGCTGCCTGTGGTTGCAATAAATAAATCCTCAACCTTGGTTAATGAACTATTTTCATTTCTCAATGTATTTTCTGTTGAACTTCTATCTTCGTGCATTGTGGTTATTTTAGATTAATGATTACACATTCTATCAAAAATAGACCAATGCTTAATCAAAGTAGAACATATTGAGGTTTAGGGGACTATTGCTTGGTGTAATGGTAAAATCTTGGGCTAACGAGTGTGAGAAAAAGTACTGAAGGATAGTATCCTGTCCACCCTCCCAAGACCCCAGATAGCTGAGACCAACATTGAGTAATGGACTAGATCATCTTGAGGTTTGGAGTTCTATTGGGGAATGCCTCTCCTGCATAATAATAATAAATTACTATTACTATTGTTGTTGTTGTTGTTTCTCCTTGAGGTTTTTGTTAGATTCCACTTTTGCACTCCAAGGGTCTTGTTCATTTTCCCTACCCTTTATTTTAACAAGTTTCTCTTGATTATTAAGCATAAAAAAAAAGGAAAAATAAACAGTAGGGGTGAATGTCGAATAAGAACATGAAAGGTGCCAGCTGGCTTAGCTGGAAGGGTCAGTGGATGTGGTTTCTACTGACATGGAATCAGATCTTGTTTTCACCCTCCCCACTTGGCCACTTCTACCCCCAAATTTGCCTAGGAAAAAAATGTAAAATACTTTGTAGTGTTGCATTCTTGAGGTTTATTGTCAGGTCCCTGCTTTATGCTCCAAAATTTTTGTTTGTGTTCTCTTCCTTTTATATTAATAAACGTCTACATCATTGATCCCCGTGGGATGAAAAATCAAACAGGATATAAAGTTTCTTTTTTCTATTTTTTTTCTTTCCATGGTAAACATATTTTAGTCTTCTTGGCAGGCTTGATGAGAGGAAACGTAGGAAGGATTTCATACTAGAAAGAAATTTACTTTATCCTAATCCTTTGGAGAAGGATCTTTCACCTGAAGAGAAGAATATATATCATCGATACAAGGTCTTCATGCGCTTTCTTTCCAAAGAAGAACATGAGGAGTTGATGAAGACTGTAATTGATGAACATAGGATACGGAAACGAATTCAAGATCTTCAGGTATAGATTGTTGGATTTTGACTTGTACATCTAAATCTCTTTTCACACACACACACACACAACTGACTATCCCCTAGGTTTGATGTGGTGCAACATCATTCTACAGACAACTAGTGGTGACAGATTTTGGATTCAACACTTGTTTTCAGTTGTCATGATTCTACAGACAACTAGTGGTGACAGATTTTGGATTCAACACTTCTTTTCAGTTGTCATGATTCATGAACATGTATGGTACTTCTCTTTTTGACTATTAGGAGGCCCTGCAATGACATCGTTTTACATGAATGTGCATTAGGGGATCTAAAACAGTTGACCTTCAAATGTCAGTGACTGAACCACCTCTGGAAATATGATCTTGTAGGACAACCATGTCAAGAGTCTCATCAAATTCATGGTGGTAGTTTCCGTAGTTGTCATGGCACCTAGGCAAAACTAGGCCAAAGGGCCAGCGATGTGCCTTGTCACCTAGGCTATGGTTTTTTTTTAATTAAAAGCCTAAATCCTAGGGTTATTCCCTAGGATTCATAGCAACCAGCAATCATCTTTCATTAATAATTAGTAATTATCTTCATCAAAGAAGTATAAACTCCATATAAAACATAGAAAATCAACATATTCGTGAAAATAAAATGAAGAAAGAAAAGACTAGTCAGAGATGAAACCTTTTTTGTCCTTGGGAAATAACAATTTTTTTCTTCAAGGGTTCAACAGTGTCCATTGATTTGTGTGTTGATCAAACCTAACATCATCATCATCATCATCATCATAATAATAATAATAATAATAAAAGGAATCTAGTATACGAGTTGTGAATTTTTATAGCTGTCAACTGGTTGGGGTCTACCCAATATAACTGAACTGATTATAGTGGTTCTGGTTTTGAGTTTTGTATCCCAGTTGGGTCAGGAGCATTTTTTGCTGTTCTGAATCGATTATCCAATTAATAGGGTATAAACGTCTTATTGATTTTCTTGTATTTTTTATATTTTGTCTAAAAGGGTAAATTTCATACAGTATATAATATAGTTTTAGTTTATTAACATTTTTTATCGACATATAAATGTTTAACTAATTACTGTCATTTTTATTAAGGTTACATTATCAAAAATGAAATTCCGAGTTGTCATATTATAGGTTAAGTATAGATGTCAAGTATGATAATGTCTAAGTAGGTAATTATCAAAAAAAAAAAAAAAAGTGTCTAAGTAGGCCAGACCCAATTATCCTGATTAATAATTGATTTAGTTCTGCTTCTGAGCTTTGCGTCCCAATTAGAATTGGGTCAGGACCGGTTCCACCCTGTCCCATACCAGACCCAACTCATTGACAGCTCTAAAAATATTATGAACCCACAAAATGAATAATTGTGTTATAATGTTTATTGTAATATTTAACCTAACAAAATAAAAAATATAATAATTTTATATGATGCCTTGTACATAAACAACTAGGTGCTTGGGGGAGGCAAACTTCCATGGCGGTTGGGTGCCTTGTCACCTAGGCACCCACCCAGGTGTTACATTCATGGGTACTTCTTTGGACAATTATGAAGCCCTGCAAGTGGCATTGTTGTACATCAATGCACATTCAGGGCGGTGGGGTCTACCATACGATGAGTCCCACATGGGGTATAATACTTAATTTTTTTTGATAGATATATAATAATAATAATACTTGAATTATTGATCAAACCATCTATCAAATTAATGTTATAGGCTCATAGTCCCATCAGACATGACAATAGTTCCATTAACATGAAAGTAACAACATATCTCTTATTTTCAACTGCTACTTTGGGTACCATTTCATCGAAACTAGCTCAATCACAAGTATATTTATTTTATTTTGCATGTTTGAAATGACTAAGTTACAACAGAGATATGTATCATAATACATTGAATAAGCTGTGGGATGTAACCATGATTCAGGTTTTCCCAAGTCAATGAGTTGGATGCATCGCCTCATTGTTGGATATTGACATGTCCTTACGGCTTACACAGCAACTGACTTGCATTTATTTTAATATTAGAGTTGTTATGCTCCAAAAAACTTACCCTTGACACAATTGTAGAAAAAAAGAAATTATTTATAGCCCCTAGCAACCAACACAGAAGTTTCGTAAGTTTAACCATTGAAAATGTCATAAACCATCCAGTGGCCCTAATTCTCTTTATTGTTTAGAGATTTAACTCATTGGCTTTCATTGAACTTAATTTCAGTCATTTTAACCTTCCTCTCACATTTAGATAAAAATGCTTGCACAGGAGGCTCGAGCTGCTGGCTGCCATACATCGGCTGATTTAGATAGATATATTGAGCATAAGAGAAAAAGGGAAGCTGAAGAAAGTGCTCGCAGAGGGAAGGAAGGTCCTTTGGTTGGTCCAAGTGGTAAAGTACTCCAAAGAACAAATCGGCCAAAGGGGGAAGCTGACAGTAGCCCTCGGGGAGGTGTAAAGGGCTCATTGGGTTTAGAGACAGGTGGTAAAGATTTAGCTAGTACAACTTTGAGACAGTCTGCAATGGATGATTGGTGTATAACAGGTCTTCCTGGATCAGATCTACTTAGTGAGACTGTAAGTACGCATTTTTTTTTTGCATTCCAGTATTTTGATACAGGCTGAGGTCACATCTCATAACTTTAAAGAAGATAGGTTGATATTATGAGTAATTTAGAGAACTGGACCAGGCATAGAACCGAAAAGGGGAGAGGTTCACGAGTCAGAGGTTCAATCAGGGTCAAACTGGAAGTTGAACCATGATAACGTGACATATATGTATATATACTATGGGTCGTATAATTACTATATATAATTTATTTTACAAATTATATCATACTTGAATGTGGTAGATAGATGGTAAGTTTCTTAATTTTTAAAACCAATGATTAGGGTTCAAACCTCTTAACTTGCATTTTCTTTAAAATGTGTGTAATAAAGTAATATATGTATATATAATAGGGAAAATTTATGATGTCGGAAAGACATGGTATCGGAAAAGTTCCCAATCAAACCCACCTGTAAATTTTGATAAATTCCACCTAATTGGTTAACATGTTTATGATACTCTTGATTGGTCACAAGTTTCTTGGGTATCATGTCTTTTTGGTATCATAGTCAAACCCTTTACAATAATTAATTAACACATAAATAAATATATCAATGTTAATTGAGTAAAATACATAAATAAAGGGTCCATGGGTTCAAGTCTTGGCACAAGTATTTTGGAATTTCAAGTGTTGTCCTAGTTCGCTGGTTTTCTGGTTGAACCAGTTGGTCATCCAGTTTTCATTGATTTTTTAGGAATTTTGGTTCTTGACCAAACCAGTCAGGGTCCCTGGTCACAGTTCAACCAGTCCGACTGGCCATCCAGTCCGGTTTCCTAAACACCAATTAACAGTTGACACTATCTTGAATGATCCTGGTAGCAAAATGAGGTTGCTGTCAATGCTAAAGCATTTTGGTGCAACCGCTTCTCAAATTTTCTAGCCTTGTTTCATAACCAACATATTGGAACTCTTGGATTGAATACCAGTTACTTTGGTGGTTCAGGGTTTGACTGTCTGGGTTGAATAACTAAAACTGATAGCATAAAACTTTTATGTATATTTCTGTGATTTTTCATTCTTTGGTTTAACGTTTTTCTTTAGAAGTGGATAGTCGTGAAGCTTGAACCTTGTGCGGCTATGCCAAGGTTACACACTTACACCCCATGCATCTAAAGGCCCCGGTGCCTTACCTCACACCACGAACTATATCTGATGCACAATCAAAAAGGTAACATAAAAGCTGATTTCTATAGTTAGAAAGCATCTGTATTGATCAAAGAAGAATCAACGACAAACCTGTGCTTTGCTTTCAAGGCTTCGGATTCCCACCTGGAAAAGTTTCACCCTGAAATTTGGTTTATGTGGATGAGAATATTCAGGCAACGGCCCTAACTGATTTATCCCGTCCAAATCTAATCAAATGTTTGTACTTGGTAGGTTTAAATGCGTTTATTTCCATATCACATTGCATTACTGTATAATGCAATTTGTGAAAGATGCTAATAATTGCAGTACTATATAATGTCTTTGTTTTGGTTTTTGCCCCACCCGAAGCAAAAAATTATTGTTTAACTTGAGGTGTTTGAGATTGACTTGGCAGATTTTGGTATTTCGCAGGATCAACGTTTGTGCTGTGAACTCCAATTGTTCCCTTCTCATTATCTAAAAATACAGGAAATTATGTCAGTGGAGATATTCAGTGGTAACATCACCAAGAAATCTGATGCATATCGTTTCTTCAAGGTTGAGCCAAGCAAATTAGATAGAATTTATGATGTGCTTGCAAAAAAACTGATTGCTCAACCGTGAGAATAATCTGATTCTTCCATTTATTGGAATGTAAAATTTGAATGTTAAATTATTTTTACATGAATGAGTCTTCTATTTTGCTTAAAATGTGAATTTTTAGAACAAAATCCATCATAATTTATGGAACATGATCTGGCATTTCCCTGCTGGTTAAGTCTATGTTTAAGCGTGCAAAAGGTGAAGCACTGATGTGAATGCAATTTATTGGAATGTAAAATTTGAATGTTAAATTATTTTTACCTGAATGAGTCTTCTATTTTGCTTAAAATGTGAATTTTTAGAACAAATTCCATCATAATTTATGGAACATGATCTGGCATTTCCCTGCTGGTTAAGTCTATGTTTGAGCGTGCAAAAGGTGAAGCACTGCTGTGAATGCAATTTTGTTTAAATAGAAGCAAGGATCAAAATCTCGGGCATATCTCATCGGTATCCAAAGGGTCCAATACAGTTTGATACACTGAAATACACAAGCCTTGAGGGTTTTGAACGTTTGGGATCAACACTCACGCATAAAAAATATTCCAGGTGCCAAGCTTTGAACATGGCCATCTCGGTATTAAGCATTGAACATGACCACATGTTCTGAATCCTAGAATTTAGCATTTTGGTGACCCTGAAAACAGAACGATATGCATCGGTTCTTTGAACCATGAATTTGATGACTAATCGACTATGATAAATTCGGTGGAGCCTGACTATGGATCCTTCGACTGCTCATCTGGTTTAGTCTTTTTATTTTTTTAGGGATGGGCTTCAGGGCATGGGCGATAAATAAAGTACTCATAATTTGAAAGAATTTTTTTTTTAGTTGAAAGAAAATTAAAATGGCAATTTGTATGAAGACAAAAGGGTTATCATACCGGAAGAACTTTGACCATTTAAAACTGCACTTTCCCGTAAATTTTGATAAATACTAGCTGATTGTTACCAATTTTAATCTTTCATGATACCGGTTGATTGGTTCAGTATTTTAGATATCATGCTTATGTTTAAGTCGGACTCGATTAAAAGATGACATGAACGGTTTTAGTAGCTAAGAATTCTTGTATCTACTTTGCCGTAATATCTAATAGACACGATAAGAAATCGAAAAAAAGAAAGACATACAAATTGGTTTAGAGCGTTATTGGCCTAGTGGGTTCAGCGGTATTCTATTTTCGAGAGGCCAAGAGCCCAAGATCCCTTGCGTCTACTGTGAAATTTTAAATAGTAGAATAGAATGGTGGATTTTAGATATATTCAATGGCTACCAAGAAGAAAAGGTTTTATACATTTAATGTTATAATTGTTATATTGGATGCACATTGATCTTGCTGGCTGAATTATGATCTATGCAACTGAGAGATTTAGTGTCAAATTCTCATTCTAAGCTATCATCTAATCGTCTATGGAAGGTTCTTTAGTAATCCAATAGAAGACATGGACATCCTGATTGGACCAGGACAGCTTTATGCTGAATGCTAAATAGGCTGCAAACAGAATTATATTTACGTAAGAATTCAAATTTAGGCTATCAAACATTTTATTATAAAGGTATGTTTGGAAAATAAATGGTTGGTGGAATAAATGCTTTATTTAATAAGTACTTATTAACGCTTGGAAGGTATTTTTTCAAATCATTTATACTTATTTGTTGCAATGTTTAGTTAACTATTTATCCTATAAGTATTTATATTTGCAGAAATGATAATTATAGCCCTAGCTTAATATAGACATATATTAAATATTTATGAACGCTATATCGACACTTTGATTAAAAAACCAAAATAATAAACATCACCATTTAGGGCCCATTGTGTGCTGGATATGAAAACCAAAGCAAAACAGAGCATTAGAATCCTAAAAATCAAGGGAAGAAAGAAAGGGATTGGAGAAATAATGAAAAATGGAGCCAAAAAAAGAGTTAAACAGTGGGTTTCATAAACTTGATGTCAAATTCCACAATGGTTGCTGCCACTACAAATAACATTCGATGGAAAGAAAATGATAAGGTCCTTTCAGCTTTTTGAAGATGGGGGCAATCCCTAAATAAATAAATAAAACATTGGAAACAATCTTGTCCCAAAAAAAAGTAATTATTGAATAAGCACTTAAAAAAACACCCAATTCTGACATTTTTTAATTGCTTATTTTCAAAATAAGCACTTATTCTGGGCTAATTTGCTAAACATGAATAAAATACTTGTTTTCCACTTATTATGTGGTCGCAACACTTAAAATAAGTATGTATTGGAGTAGAACAAATACTTATTTTAAGTGTTATTACAAAGTAACATGTACGGATGTACCCCGTTAAGCATTCACAAAGATATCAAATGGCAACGGAATAATCTGAAAGATTCCAAGGGAACAAAAAGAGAAAGGCCCATTAATACCGGAAGACAGATCGGACAGGACAAAATTCTTCCTGCATTGACAGTTACACCTAGCTGATTCTTCACAATAGTTAAGATAGCCCTAGACTGAAATTTCGAAGGGAAAGACAATGGTGGTGGGACACATCTATCTTCTAATGCCTGCCATAATTTGAGCACCTTCACAGTAAGTGGATAAGTATGCAAAGTGCACCAATCTTATTTCTAAGTTGGGTACAAAGAATGTACAAGACACCAAATCCAGCAACTCTAGAGGTCTAGATGAAGCCCCTTCTCGAAGTAAAATGTTACCAATATGGGTCCCACCAAGTCCCCAACAGCACAACCTGCAGGAAAGTAAATGCTATAATATATTAGCTTGGAAACTTGAGAGCATCAGACATTTTTTTTTTGATGAATAGCATCAGACAAAAATAGTGCTGCTGTAGTTTGCTAAATCATTAGCAGTCATTGTCACCGTCACAATAATTTTAACAATTATGAATATCACAATATGGGATTTTGAATAGATCATCCAATGTTGGTTTCAGGATGGGTTAGCTGGATACGGTCCTAACCTTTGCCTTTTTTACCAGATTCTATGACTTAAATCACCAAATATGTATAAGATGGTGCCTTGAGCAAACAGGGTTAGAATGCTGCTATTTTCAGGGGTCTTTACTCAAAAAATTAACTGGGGAAAAATACGACCCCAATTCAAAGACTAACGAGTCAGCAGCCAAAAATAAACCAACATGGGTAATCTAGGTAATGAAGATCTTATACAAATACAATGAAAATTAAGTTATGTGCTTACCAATCCATTGCCCAGCTGAAGGATGGAAAATTAAGTTATGTGCTTACCAAAAACTAAGGATGCACCGCACCTTATAGTTGCAGCAGAAATCTTTTTACCATGAAGCCAGATTTCTTCTTTATTAACTTTATTGTCCCGCTCACTATTGATTATATGAGCAAAGCATCCGTATATCTCAATTCCAATTTGGACAACCCATGATGCCATAACTCCTAACAAGGGTCCTATTAAACAGAAAGGAGTAAAAGGCATTTAAGTCACACAACCAAGCAATCCACCATAGGAATAACAGACTAACAGGAAAAACATTTGACCTCTGAAGGTTGTCCTACTGACTCTGTAAAAGTAAACAAAAGTGGGCATTCCCCTTCTGCCTTGCGCTTTGCTGATTTGGGCACATCTACACACATTAACTCAATTCATAAGTTATCTATCAAAGGGCAGAGAAGGGAAATGAAATGTCCAAAGATATTAATTAAATCCATGAGTTACATGAATAAATGAGCATAGGTAAAAAGATGGATAGATAACCTCAAAGAATTCAACAGCCTTGACCATTCAAGTGAGGGAGAAATACCCGTATGATTGCATTATAAATATGTTCTGCAAACCATCAGGTATGCACCTTATCTTATTTTCCCCCTTTTATTTTATTTTATTTTCTCATTGCATACTTTTGGAATAAAATTTACACATTGGACTGTTCGAAACCAATCAGAGTTTTACATAGACCTTACATCCTTGACCAATATGCCAAAAGCCTTAAGACTGTTGGAAACTTGGAATGCATCAAGCCAAGCACTTCAACATGCTGTAACATACCACCATGTTTCTGCAGCCGGCATCTCAGCAGCTTCACTCTGGGCAGCTCTCACTCTAGCAGCAGGTAGCCCTTTCTGCGAAAGCTTTCACTCTGCTCTAGGGAGCCCTTCTCCCAGGTAGCCCTCAATATGGTTCGAACTTGGTAGGCTCTGGTACCATTTCTTATGTGCTTGACCAACATGCCAAAAGCCTACCACCACACCTCAAGTTTGAATCATAGTGAAGTTTTAAGACCATTGGAACATGTCAAGCCAAGCACTTTAACATTTAGGACCCTATAACAATAGATCTCCTATGTTCTACCCAGCAAATAAATGTGTTAATAATCGTGTTGTATGCTATGCAGACCTTTCCCCTAAATCTGAACATTGTTACATCCAAAAGAATAAAAGAGTAGTTACTAAACCAAGGAATAGGGTTCTCTATAAGCAATGTACCAAAAAAAGTATCTTGCTTTGACAAAGCAAATAAAATGACGCTGAAAAGTAATTTTTTGAGAAAGATATTTCATCCTGTAATGGCCATCATATTATCAGGCAAATAGCCTCCATTAGCATGATGTCATCCTCCAGTACAGAAAATAAGCATCAAAGTCCAATACCATACATTTCAGACTTGTACCAGAACAACACAAAGTGTAATTTCTACATTTTCAAGGTTGCATCTCTATCTAATAGCAAACCTAGGAATGTAAATAGATAAACATCTTTTACAATTTTACTTCATCTTAGTACAAGTAACAATTGAAACATATACCATAAATCATGCATTGTATTTTTTATTGGGGAGAGCAAATACCCTTAAGAAGTTTCCATGCCATTCGTTGTGAAACATAACAAACAGCAAGTCTTTCAAGTACACGTCTTGTAGTTATAACTGTAGTCTGCATTAGATAATTGATTGATCAACAAGTAAAGGTCAATTAGCAACAGAACAATATTTAATCCAAGGCATAAGGACAAGCAACTAGTACCTGAGACTACAAATTACTAAACCTCCAGACGATCTTATAAGAATACAAAACAATCATTGTGTTTCAAAGTCCAAGAGGACCACAAATGGGATGCTTGATTATGAACAAATTTAAATAGCATAGAAGTGGCTAGCAAGCAACAGCATAAGCAATTAATTGGTGAAAAGAGAGCCCTATTAAAAGAGCCTTTTTCTTGAAAGGTAAAAGGTTTGAGTCTGTCAGACAACCTTGTGACCATCTCAGCCATCAGATTAAGGATGACTGAGAACAATCCTCTACTTCTGTGGAGACCCAGATAATGGGGGGCCAGCTGTTAATCACAGTCTGATCATACAGCCCTTAATACATCCACCAGACTTGGGTTCCTGTCTCCTTCAAACTCAAGGATACAAAGGCATAGGCCTATAGAACAGATCATAAAGAGCAATATTAGAGTGATAAATATTCTTTACTTCTTCCGCAGCAATAGAGCTATATTAATAAGAGACAGAGCTTGCAGAACATATGCTTGGGCAAAAAGGCCAAGAGATTGTTTCTTGTTGTAGATGGCAGAAGAGATGATTTTATTCTTGTGATCAGAAATTTATGAAAGAGGCCATTACCTAAAGCTGGTCCAACTATCAGACAGGTGAACTAGATACAAGACTATAAGCCTTTTGCCAGAACCATGAAAAGGTTCTATCCAGAAACTGTGGCAGAAATGTGTATGGCACCGTAATAGACTCAGAAATGAAGTCAAACAAAGGAACCTAGGAGTAGCTCCAATAAGTGATAAAATGAGAGAAAATAGACTGAGGTGGTTTGGTCACATGCATAGAAGACCATCTACAGTACACATTAGAAGAAGTGATCTGTTACAAGTTGAAGGAGCTAGAAGAGCTAGGGTTAGACTGGAAGTGGTAAGACATGATTTTTACTTTTTTAGTGCCCATAATTTGACAATGAACTGGAATGATGAAATAGGATTCATGTAGCCAACCCCATATAGTTGGGACAAGGCATAGATGAAGAAGATGATGATGATGATAAACCATGTAAAGGTTCCTCTGCCTCCTGGAAGATAAAAAGAAGATAAAGCAACTGGATATAATGCTAAGGTGCCAACTGAGCTTGGGGCTAAACTGAAGAACGAAAATTTTTGTTGTTGTTTGTCTGCCCTTCATTTTGTGTTAATCAGTAGAAAAAAGTATATCACTTTTTGTAACAGTCGTTCCTACATCCCTCCAAAATCAAGCCAATAAAAACTCAAGTCCAATATGGATTTTGATTTCAACCTATAGCCTCATGGCTTCATCGATGCTAAGAGAGGTCCGCCTTTCAAATGTCCACAGTAGGGAGTAGTCCAGGGGCAATGCTCTGCCCCACTAGGTCAACCACCAATGACAAGTGATGATATAATTAAACTATTAAAGAATAAAAGTCATTAAACAAAAATTGGATCTTAATCTATTTTAAATCAATCCAATCAAAATTCCAGATACAGAATCTGGCTCAACTTAGTTTGATGTGTTCAACTTACATGCACAATAAAAAATAATGGAGCAAGCTTTATCTATTTGGTCAGCTTAATCAAAAGTAGATATCATATGGTGGTGGTTTTTCTTTTTTTCTTGAGGGGGGGTGAGGGGAACAGTAGTTGAAGCCCAAAAAACAGGAGGGAAAAGCATCAAAAGAGAGGAGCTGAGAGTAGCACAATATACTTTGAAGTGCCAAAATATGAAGAAATTTGATCGAGGAAAAAGAGAAACAATGATCCAAACAATTTCTTCGAAAAGAAAACAAAAAAAGGAGCAATAGAGGCTAGAGCAATAAACTACAGAGAGGTATTTTGGTGAATCCACATGGATATCTTCCATTTTAACAAGAAATTCATCTTTCTCCATGGTTTCAAAGTTCTCCCTTCCCAAAAAATTTTCAAACAGTTTCTCCAAAAGAGATGAAACAAAACATTTGCTAAATACAACCCAGAGAATTTTTCTTCATTCAGCTTTTCTTTTCTTTTCTTTTTCTTTCTTTTTCTTTTTTGACAATTCATCAAGCTTCTAATAGATACTTTTACAAGCATGGAACTGTGGCTCATGCACATAGAAATCTGACAAGATGGATACAGATGAAATGTTTTCCCTTTTTTTGAGAAAAAGGTAGCCGTAAGTATTGCATAAACAAAATAGACAAAACAGTGTACAGAGGGGGTGTAGAAGACACAACCTCCTCCCCCAGCAAACTATAAAGGAAGCATATTGTCACTATAAAAAGAAAATCCCCCTTTGGGTCCCTGATTTGACTAGCACATCAGCTATTCAGTCCAATTACCTGGGGATCCACCCTGATTGTTGCATGCAAAATAGCCATCAAGTCCCCAGCTTCAGAAAGTAGTGAGCCAACCTCCATGGCCCACTTTCCTGATTTTTTATCCAGTTTATAGTGTTTGGTGAGTCTCTTTCAATGGTGAGAGAGGAGATGCCAAGATGTTTAGCAGTTAATTCCTTCTAAATACACCATTAAGTGACAAAGGGGGACAAGTTACATACACTAGCTCAGTAGCTCACTTGCTAAAACCTTCAACTGTTCAACAGATTAAGAATGGGCAAGATGGTGAATATGCCATAGTATAAACTGTTGACAGTTAAATAGATAAAGAATGAGACCAAATTTACAAATGGCTTAAGGGAGAAGACAACTTGTCCACTTTCCAATCCCTTAAAATTCTTACAAGACCCCAAGGTTCCAAGAGAAATCCACCAATAACCAAGAAAGAAATGATGCAATCAACTGGATCTTCAAAGAGGACAAAGTGTTCAAGGAGTGTCATCCCCATGAAAGGTCTTACCAAAAAGACTCATCAACCGCTTCTGAGACCAATGTGATAAACCGAAGTAAAAGAGGGTAAATTGCAAGAATAGATGTTCAAGGAGTGCATAGAGTAGTTCTATGAACGAATCTAGGCTCCCAGCCATTAGCACATACACCATGGATGCTTCAAATTACAGAATGCCATAACTTATCTAAGTCTACCAGAAACCTCCAGAGCCACTTTCCTAACAAGAAAATATTTCTAAACTTCAATATACCAAACCTAACCCCCTTCCTCTTTCCACTTACACATCACTTTCCAGTTAATTAGATGGCCTCTCTTGGTATCTCCAAGTTCCCAAAAGAAATGCCACATGATTTCTTCTAGCCTTTTAATGATCATAACGGGGGCCTTAAACATTGAGAACAGGTACATAAATAGATAAGAAAAGGTAGCTAATCAAGGTCATCCTAACTTACAAAGGGACTCGACTCTTTTTCAAACTGAGAGTTTGTTAGTGAATCTATCCAAAACCAAGCCCCAAAAATGCACTAGAGTTGGTGTTACCTCTCAAAGAAAAACTCAAATAACAAAATGGACAAGAGGAAACAGAGCATCCAAGTAGTGTAGCATAGTGCATAAGAGTACTAGGTTTCATGTTTAATCCTATTAAGCTATTCTTAATTCAGATTAATCCTCAGACCCAACAGCCTCTAAAAGCAACCTAAGAGAGACTATAAGTTCTTCACACCATCATCCCTTCCATTCTCACAAATCATCAATAAATTGTAAATAAGAGACTCACACCCCTTCCCTCCTCACTCACTCGCTGTTCCAGCCCAGCCTTAGTATCACTATTGAAAAGCCTACTAAAGATGCCAACCACCAACATGAATAGAAATCCAGATAAAGGATTTTCTTGCTTCAAACCTCTCTTGCCCAGAAAGCAATCTTGAGATAAGGACACCAAACTAGATGTCTCAACTCTCAAGGTCCTTTATCAATTAGGTTCAAACCTTCTCTTATGCCCCCTCCAAGAAGACCGATCAAAAAGGTCACAAGCTTTCTCTACATCCATCTTGCACACCAACCCCTTAGTATTTAGAATCCTGAAGACATCCATCCTTAAATTTTCTCATGACACCTCTAGACCTCAAGTACAGCACTTAAACAATGACTTTGTATGAACTTCCTATGAGACTTGTTGGCCTGAAGTTTATTGATTGGGATGCACCAGGTTCTTCTGCGACGAGAGCAATGAAAGAAATGTTTGACCCAAGAATACTGTCCATAGGCAGAGACAAACTTGAGAGGGAATGTGAATGGACCAAATCTAATGGCATGGGAAGGTATCGGAAATACCATCTGAGCTTGAAGTTTTATCCTTACCCTGCTAATTATGCTGTCAAAAGATGTTACCACATCTTTTTTTTTTTTTTTGATCAATTTGTTACCACATCTTTTAATTAAGGGTATTTTTTTTTATCAATTAATTAAGGGTAAATTGCTGAAACCTCCCCTGAAGTTTTGTAATTGCAATCATAGTTGCAAGTAAATCCCCTTTGGTAGAATCTTCTAAAAAGAGGCATGGAAATGTCCAAAATACCCATGCAGTTACTTTTAACAAAAATGTTTATTTTCCTAATTTTCTCTTCATATGAATCACTACCTCAAACCCTTCTAATCTCTTTTCTGAAGTTGATTTATTTTCAAAATTTGCCCTTTCATATCAATCACTCAAAGGTAAAGTTACAACTTAAATTCTCTTTGTTTTTGTTGTTCATAAAGTTTGTATTGTTTTTCTTTTCTGTAGAAACCAGCCTCAATAGTACCTACATGGGTATTTTTGACATTTCCATGCCTCTTTTTAGAAGATTCTACCAGAGGGGGTCTACTTGCAACTCTATCAGAAAGTTCAGGGGAGGTGATTGCAATTACTAAACTTCAGGGGAGGTTTCAGCAATGGTCAGAAACGTCAGGGGAGGTTTCAGCAATTTACCTTTAATTAAAGAAAACTATGATCCAGTCCAAAGGTTCAGGTCCTTTCATTCTGACACTTTTATATTATTATCATACTTTACCTTCGTTTTAAGAAAAAAACGTTTTTGTGGCAATAGTCGATCTGTCAGCATCATTTAACTACAAATGAAGTTGAACTTAAATTAGTTAATGAATAGATTTTAGGATCATCAAATCTCAAAATATTTTATCAAGTCATATGCATGGTATTCCTCTCATGCAATAGACAAAAGAATATCACAAAAGCCACTGCATCAGAAAACAGCAACCAAACCTTTGACAGAGGCTAGGTCAAAGACTTTTAGAAATTTCATACCATAAGACTGAGTGAAGTTCGATAAGATACAAAATTATCATTGTCAAAAATAGTGCACATTGTGAATACAACGAATTGCATGCTTGAATTTAATCAAGATAGTTGAACTAAGTTGTCCTTGAATCAGTAACCAGCCATGGAACACCGAAAGAAAGCACATGAAATGAAGTTAGTAAGATATTCACCTTTCGCAGGATTTGCTTGATAGATTTTTTGAAGGGAGTAACCAAGTCTACATGGTTCTCTTCTGGATTGTCCAGCAAGAAATCATCATCATCCTCATTTTCTGAATGAGGTTCCAGAAGAGGCAAATAGAAAACCAAGAAGGACCTCAAGGAAGTCATTGCAAGGGACCTCAGTCCAAAGTCTGAGAATAGAGGTTTTTGCTCTATTGGGTATTCCTTGGTGTTGTACTTGATTGAATCATGCTGAAAAATATTCCTAGAAGCACTTTGTAGATTGGAAATATGGTCTTCAGTCCATTCTGTGTTAGCATCACAAAAAGAAACTGATATCCTGCCACCACTAAAACAATAATAAGTTTATGGTTAGAAAACAAGTGCTTGGCAAAGGAGTGATAGCAATATGCAAGGGGAATTGCAAAGATGGTGTAAATAGCAAATTGATCCCAAAGAAATGTACCAATGAGTGCAGCTCAACATGAACTGATAACCCAATACCCTTACTCTTCTACAGATGAAAAATACTAAGAACAGATTAAAATATTTCATCATAAACATTATATGCTATATGAGTTAATTGGGTCAAATAAGTGCCAGAAAGATATAATTGAGATAAATCTGAAAGATAATAAAATAAATCATCAGAGACCCCTTTTAGTGTCTGGTTGAGGAATGACAAAATCCCCTTTGATATACAAATTATCTCATTTATTGAGCTATTCAAAATGTTATAGAGATTTTCTTCTCAAGTTAGGACCATCAGCTTCTTATGGTAAAGTGATTTATTGAACAGTCACCTTCTTTTGTTTCACATTGCTTTGCATGGATGACGTAGGACAGGTAGGGGATCATATAACTTTCGGATCTAGTAGTGGGCTTCATAGTCCACCCAAAGGCTGAATTATGAAGAATAAAGATGGAGAAGCAAGTAGATAGCTTATTCTCCAGCGAAAAGATGAGAGGGAGAACAGAAATGTTAATGGTGTAATGTTTCCTTCTTGTCAAAACATGTTGGTGCTTGTAACACTAATTATGCAGGCATAGGTTAGGTAGGTAAACCATGCAATGCCTGGTTACCGTCATAAGAACAACCAGCAACCAAAATTTATTAACAGTCAACCGTACAGACCACCCGGCAGACGTATCTAGCTCTTACAACAAAACCAAAATGTAACACTAAGAATACTATGATTCTAAGCTCCAATGAGACAACGGCACTGGACTTGTTGAAAGACATGGCAGATTGCAGCAAACTCGTCCACAAATAGCCAGAACACTTAACCCAAATATGATAATGATGTAATAAGCAAACACAAGGATCGCTCGTCAAGAAGAAGTTGGCAAAACCCTAACATCCAATGTAGCTATTTACTCAAACAAGTCAAGAAAAGTAGAGATACGCATTCAGAAGATAGAGATGCATTTGGCCTGATTACAGAATAGAAAAATCAAGAAAATATAATTCAACAAAGAAAAAGATTACCCGAACAAGAATCTAGAAGCAAAAGGCCTTGCTGCTGCAACAGAAGCAGCAGCGGTCGAAGCAGCGAAGGTTGCAGAGAATAACCCGGAAGAATGCAGGGTGTGGCTCGAAACTGCAATATTTTTTCTCCACAGATCCAACAAAAGAGCTATTCCTGCCATTTTTCTCCCTGTTCGAAAATCCCTAAAAGCACGTGGGGTTATATGCTATGTTTGTGTTTCTCAAAGGAATCCTTTTCATGAATAAATTATACATGATGGAGACCGTTAATTGTAAACTTCCGATGTTCCTTCTCCTTTCACTTCCGGTTCCGGTCGGTTGGTTTAGCCCAATCATAACTCAATTCAATATTAAATTTGGCAAGCGAGGAGGTCCGACTTCCGAGAGAACGAGAGTTGGACTCCCTTGCATATATGATATATATCTACGACGCCGGAAGTGTGAAGTCTGAACACTCCATATCTAACGCACACAGTCAGTGAGTCACACACCCTCCCTGCTCAGGATACGAGTGTCATTTTGTTTGTCAAAGTGGATTCCAATCTAACGTGCAAACCTCTTCATTGTGCTTACGGTCAATGCGATTATAAAACAGAACAACGCGGGTGATTGGATCAGGGCAGACACGGCCCCCACTTACTGGCAACATAGACAACCTGTTACACTTCCCCCAGTACCAGTAGGCAGTAAGTAGCCCAGTAGGGACTGGATCTGGTTATCAGGTTAAGCGGTAAACTCGCACTGACGGGTTAGTGTCGTCGTCGGGTAAGGTTCATGTTCAAATGGATGGACCCGTGCTCAACTTGGCCTATTGCCATTGCGTTTGCCGCGTTGAAATCTATTCTATGTTTCCTAAACTTTAGGGTTGTGTCAAGGCAGTATCCAAAATTCCAAATTTAGTGTGTCTAATAAGTCGCTGCCATTAACCGTTCGTTCACATGATCACATGTGACACTTAAAACCCGAAGAATAGTGTCATTGCTACAACGGTGTCGGAAACTGACGGCGGTGCCAAGAACAGATTTGAACGAACCGAACCATCGATGGTGCCAGGAATGCTGAAACCGCCATTGCCATAATCTCTTGTATATTCTTTTTTTTTAAATTTTATATAGCTGATGAAAATTCCTTGTATATATTAAAATCCATTGTAAATAGTTACTACAATCTTTCTATCTTAGAATCAAGGGTGGAACAACAACATCTAATGAGTAGTTTTGATATTTTCAAAATTAACTGATAAATTATTAATGACCGAGACCTATTATACACAGTCTAAAACTTAGTTCAGGTACTACATACACATGTTTTGAAATTCGGAGATTGACTTAACACACCCCTACAGTTTAGGGTACTGGAGTTTTTCCTTCCTAAAATGCAATTGTCCATGTCTGTCAAGTGTCACCAACTACTTAACAGCCAAGATATTTGTTGCAAAGTAAAGTTACTAATATTGCAAAGTTAGAAGTTGAGAGGAGTTTATCCCTTAAATTGTTTAAAAATAGGAGGTTGATGACCATCTTCAACTATGTTCGGGCACCAAATTACATGTTAATCAGCTATTCTTACGGGTACAAGTCGAGCAGGCTATATAACGGGTTTAAGCTTAAACCAGTGCAACCCTAAGAATTTAGCCTAAGGCCCAAGCCCAATTCGAGCCCGATGTCATGTCTGCACTGTCCAATTTGAAATTTGATGCATTCCGATTAAGCTCCGTTACACTCAATCAATTCACATTAAAATTTAATATAAATGTATATATGCATCATGTAAGCATATATATATATATATATATATGGTCTATCAAAAAAATATGCATATATGTATATACATAGGCAAGGCAGGCTCTGGTTAGAATAAGGCAAAGCCAGGCTTGGGCCAGGTTTGGGTTATCTAACAGCTAGGCCCGATCTTAGCCCGAAAACAAAAAGCCCAATTTTTTGGCCCAAACCCATCCTAAATTCCTAAAATTCGAATCCAGTTTGTATTAAATTGTGGGCCGGGTCGGTTCAGGCTTGAATTGGGCCCATTCAAGTTGCACCCCTAGCTATTTTTGAAGTTTTCTTTAATTTTTTTTTAAACCAAAACATGCGTTAAAGCTTGCATATAAACTGAGAAAATATCGAGTATTTCTCATTCCTGTGCTTTTTTAATGTAGAACGTGATAATCTCGATTACTTACATTATATGTTGATTTTTCGGGAAAAATATGCTGTTCTTTTTTTTTTTTAAGAATGCTTTAGAGTGGACTCGGATTAAATATCAATTAGAACAATTGGTTGTATGAGATGTTCTATTAATTTGGGTTGTTGGAAGTGGTAACCTCATTTTAGGCATCATCCTACGTTACCCAAGTAACACATTTCTCTGGACAAGTGATTCCTAGGGAAACATAGCTCGGGTATACAGTACGGTTTTTAAAATCGAATTAGACAATGAACCGGTCAAGGGTCCAGTTCTTGGGTCGAACAGTTTGACTGTTTAAATGGAACGGATGGCCTGTTCTGACAAAAATAAATAAAAAAGTGATCAAATCGTTGAACGGTTCAACCACTCGAGTCAGCGGTTTGCTGATCAAATCAACGAGTTTTGGGGATATAACAGTTATGAGGTAAAACAGAACCGTTCACTTGACTGGTTCCCAATTTTCCGGTCAGACCGTCCAGTCCAATCTGGTTTTGAAAACCATGGTATACAGCGCTCATTCAGACAAAACATTAGGTTCCATTGTAAAGGCGGTCAAACATGAGATTATTGCAATTCTATGAGATCCACCCACTTATCCCCCAAACAAAAGAGGCCTTAATGTTGTAGGTAAGGAAAAACAGTAATATGAATTTCGTTTGGCCCATTTTCTCATTACTTGTACACAATATATTCAACTACCTAATAGAAGGAAATTGAGTTGGTTGTGGGTGAGTTTAAACATTCCCATGCTTGATAACGTGGACAGTTACATAAAGTTTTATGTAGAATGGATAGGCTTGTTTTGAGTGTACAATATATGGGGTGCAGTGGGGCAAGCTCAATGTCATTAACCTAGCCAAGTCGAATTGGGTTTAGGTAAAGGGATGGTTCGGGTTGAGAAAAGGCAAGTCCATATCAAACTCAACCCATTGACATCCCTACTTTTCGAGATTCTTTATGGTCGAAGGCAGGGCTGTAATTTAAGCAATTGATGGGTCAGATCAACCTTATCACCTATGGTAGTAGCTTTCAAGGTTCAAAATATCGATATTTTGTTTGCCCTTTTTTTTAGTTTTTCTTTGAAACTAGTTCAGAGGAGTTGCTTTAAAGGCCTGTCTACCCCTGAATCTCCTACACTCACATTGGTGTGTGCGGGGCTGCACTACAAATCATATTTAGACACGTCTTACGTCCCATGCATCTCAACTCACATGTGCGGGTCTTACTTTCCTGATTCCTCCATTATTCTTTTCTATAGAGTAAAATAAGTGAAAGAAGGAAAGTTCAAAAGAGAATAAGAGAGGGAAAAAATTTTGCAAACCCAACCTTGGCTGTGCAGACACCATTAATAGACGACTGTAGACCTCCATTTCTTCTTCATACCTCAGCCAGGGTTAGAAGACATTTGCAACAAAATCCATTTGTTTTTCAATCTTCTATCAAGGGTTGGAATTTTGCAAAGTGAGCCTCTGTTTTCTAAATCTGAAATTTCTTTCTATACTCTTCTTCAACTTTTGGTCAAGCGTGCGAGTGTATCAAAGTGCTTCCATTCTACAAATCCGAAATTTCCCACTCTTTTTTGACCTTCAACCACCCATGCCTCCATCCTTAAAATCAATCAGGCAAAGTTTGGGGGTCCTTTAATCTCATGAAGACTAAAAGTCCCGACGAAAATACGACCTTCAATGTGTGCACGGAGGTGTACCAAGACGACTTGGATAGCCTTGTGACGTTGCTGATCCATGGCTTCACATTGTCAAGAACATTTGATTTGTAGGGTTCTGAGGGCTAAAGTCAAAAGAAGAAGAAGATAAAGACGCCTGGAAAAAACCCTAAAATTCAAAGCCTAGTGAATCAAAATCTATATTACTAAAAACCAATCAATGTTTTTTTCCTTGTCTTTGGAATGTGACTTCACGTTCTAGAATCTAAATAACCCCCATCAAACAATCATCTTTGGCCTGTAAATATGACATTCCTTTTCCATTTTTTCTTTTAATTTATTAGTTAAAAAATAATATAAATAACAGAAAAAACTTATGACCATGTAATAAGTCCCGCACATGTGAGCCAGGGTGGCATGTGAAGTGAGACGTGTGAAAACTTGAGTGGAAGAGCACTCCCGCACTCACCAACGCGAGTGTAGGAGATCCAGGCTCCCTGAATCAGGCCAGACCCTGAAACACTCCTTGTAGGGGTGTATCAGGAAGCCACTAATACAATACATATCAAAATTTTGAACCTTGATAGTTATATAAAGCTTGGTTTCGGGCCCAACTTGACTTGGACGGTGAACCTAAAATACAAGTTTAAGCATGAGCCTATACGAGGCCAAGCCAAGGTTGGATTGGGGCAAGCTAAGAATTATCACCTCTACATTTAACTCAAGCTTTTTGGATGAAATGGGGGTGGATTTTTAGACTAAACTCCCCATTGACTTGAAGATTTGGTTCTACTAAAACTTTAGTAAGGCTTGGGTTCAACCTTAGATACCCCATCCCAACCCAATTGAACAAGGATGGGATTGTCCATCCTTTCATCTTTGTCCTTCTCAATGTCTTTCCAAGCTTTCTTTTGTTTTTCTCATAATCTAAAAGAGAAGTAAAACCAAGAAAGAAAACCATTAACCTATATATCTATAGTCAGGATGGCATTAGATAATCATTCCGACAGATGTTGAGAAGGATTGTCTCCTCATAAGATTTCATTGCAGTCATATGAGCTACTTTATTTCTATTTATGCCAATGAAGAAGAAAGCCACATCTAGACCTTGTTACTTGAGTGGTAGTCTAAAGGAAATTATCAAGCACTCTATACATTTTAATATGCTTCAATCTCAACCTCTAAAATTTCTAAACCAAATCACTGGAGGAGAATATTGCGCACTCTATTTTACACTTTTACAATTTATTGTCACTCTATTTTAGCCATTAAAAGAGATTCCAAAGGTTATTTTGCAACTTATTGTTCCTCAAAACCAAAAGAAGAAGCTAGTTAGGAGTTAGATTAGTGAATGATAGCAACGTTAGAGAGAAGGGAGGGAATTTCGAAGGGTTTAGGAAGGGGGTCCAGATCTCCTGCCCACGCCTACCCACAATACACTATCTCCCATGAATTGGGAACATCTCCTCCTATATAATACTATGCAGAGTATGAGATGTTCTCCATGTATACCTGTGATTAACATGGGCAGAATTCTCATGAGCAAGAAATCTGGAGTCTTTGGGAAGACAGAGAATAAAGAAACCACGAATCAGCAGCAACAATGGGTGAGAGAGAAA